TGTTCGGCTTATTTCCTTCTGCATCCTCCCATTCCATCCATGTTGCCACAAATGACAGTATTTCATCCATTTTTGTGGCTGAGTAATATTCCAATGTATATTATTTTTCTTCCTTATTTTTAATTACATTTTAATTTTCTTTAAGTAGCCATACTAAGGGGTCACTGTTACACAAATCAGTTTATGAGTGCAATGCATCTTCATCATTGTCACTGTTAGGGAAAAGGACGGATTCAAGAGGCAAGAAGAATCAAGGTAGACAAAGACATCAACCTCAGCCAACCAGATCAAAGTTGAAGAGAGACATGACCAGAGGAGAGTGAGGAAAGACAGGAGGTGTAATGAGGGGAGGGGTGGAGGGACTTTAAGTAGGGTCTTGGGTTGGGGTAGGGTCACAGGTAGCTGGAGGGTTCAAAGAGTTTCATGAATTTATGGTGCAGGCCTGGCTCTGGGAACCTATTGTTTGAGCAAGTCCCTTGCTTTGCCAGGAGTAGTGTGCTTTGAGGTATTCTGGTGCCTGTCTGCGAGGATGGGGAGTGGGCTTTCACATTTTGATTAAGATTTCTGAGCTGGAGACTGGACTGGGAAGGTCCCCCTCCTCTGGCGGTAGGGAGGGGATAATATGTGGGCCTAGCCATGGGAGCAACATTGAGTTATGACAGCAAAGCAGATTCCTATCAGTTACACCTTCCATTCTCCCCTTTTTCATCCTTTTTTTCCTTCCCTCACCTAGAAATTACAGGTATGTACTTAGTCTAGAAAAGGTCAGGTTTTTAAAATAAATATTTGTGGTTTATAATCTTCTCTTCCAGCTCCCCTAAACAGCTAATCCAAAGAAGACATTGGAAGTCTGATGTGAAAAGCACAGTACTTGAGTATTGGGCATTATGAGCATGCTCATAATTCCAGCACGCAAGAGGCTGGAGAACAGGGATTGTAAATTTCAGGCTAAAGGGAGCCACATAGTGAGACGCTGATTTAAAAAAAAAAAAAGGAATCCAAACAAAGGCAAACCCACAGCATTTGAGGCTTCTTTGTCTTTTAGCCTCCGTTGGTGAAAACTGAGGAGAACTCATCTGAGAGCTAGGCTCTAAATGGCTGTGAAATTTGAGATAGGATGTTTTCCCAAAGCAGGAGAGAGGGTAAAACCGTGCTTTGATTTCATATTGCTCATAAACCACACCACGCCCTTCATGCATTAAAAAGCAAATCCAGTTATTGCCACTTGACAGCCTTTGCTGGTTGACCCACAAAGCCAATGCACATAACATGTCTCAGTCTCCTTTCACCAAACCACAGGGTTGGTGCCACCAAGCATGAGGTAGGGGACATGGGCAGCGCACAGTGAGGCCCCATGGACAGATGATACATTTGTTGAGATGTTAGGGAGGGAGTTTAAGTCCATTGCATTTAATTTTTCTTGGAATTCCACAGTGAAAATTAGATTTAAAGTTTTAAAATTTTATTTCAAACCATCGTTAGTATTTTCCTGTTAAAGGTGTGCCCAGGAATCTTACCTGTCTGGAAGTGTTATACAATTCTTAAGTTTAAAAACCCTGTCTGTGTTCCTTAAACAGGAATGTCACTATGAAAATGATTCACAAATGTGTTTGGAGAGCTCCTACTTGATTTCATTTGATAGTAAGATGAAAGGATGAGGTGGTGGTGTGTTATTGGATTTTAGATTGCACATTCACTTCCGATTTCCAGGGCAAGGCTCTCTGCTCTGCACCTGGCTACACTCCCGCCTGCAGCACATTTAATTTAAAGCCAGGTGCCCTGGGGACAGCATGCATGAAGCAGACTTCCTGGGGGCTCTTTCCCAGCTTCCATTAAAGGAGCCATTTAAATAGAATCTAGGCAGCGGGAGTTTAGGGGATAATGATGAAAAGAGTGATTATACACAGGTCTGAAAAATCATTTGTAATTTGTCTCCCCTTAAGTTTGCAAGTCAGGCCAAGCGTGATGTTGCATGCCTGTGGTCCCAGCTATTTGGAAGAAGAATCGTGGTCCAAGGAAAAGTTAGTGCAGGGGCTGGGAAGGTGGCTCAGTGGTAGAGTGCTTGGCCTGGCATGCATGAGGCCCTGGGTTCAATTCCTTAGCACCACATAAGCAGAAAAAGCCGGAAGTGGCGCTGTGGCTCAAGTGGTAGAGTGGTAGCCTTGAGCTGAAGAGCTGAGGGAGAGCGCCCAGGCCCAGAGTTGAGGCCCCATGACCGACCAAAAAAAAAAAAAAAAAAAAGAAAGGTTAGTGCAACACCATATGTAAAAAATAAATGAAAAGCAAAAGGACTGGCAACCTGACTCAAGTGGTAGAGTGCCTGTCTAGGAAGTGGGAGGCTCTGTGGTCTATCCCTAGTACCAACAAAAAGAAAAGTTAATTAAAAACAAGCATATAATTAAATAAAAATAAATTGGTAAGTCAATTTTTAATATATGTCTATGACATTATTTTCTAAAACATTTTCAGTTTTATAGTTTTTTTTTTAAAGAAAACTACCATTTGAAGATGATTACTACAGTTTAAAATCCATTCGTTGTATTACTTTTGAATGTTCAGAGTAACATAATTTTTGTGCTTTTTTTTGTTAAGAGTAAGGTGTTTTTTGTTTGATTTAGAAGTATTTTAGGCTTTAACTCATGTGTCAATCTAGTTTTCCTTTTAAAAATTCAATAATCTGAAAATAAAATCTTTAACCTAGATGATGTTATTTTGAGCCTCTGGGAGATGGCATCTGTACTTTATAAATAATGAGTTTCTCTCTAAGTTAATTAGACTTGGACTCATGAAAAACAAACGGCTTCGTTAGTGCTTGCCTTCCATTTCTGTAGAGAAAGCTCCCTGTGTCCTGTCTGAGCTGCATGCAAGAAGCTAATACTTCTTAAAGGAGGTACAGAGAAATGTCAACTGCAGTAAATGGACGTGGTAATTACGCATAGCCTGCCTTGAGTACAGTTCAGGGTGGAAAGACTTGGGAATGTTCCATAGGTAAATAGCACATCAGAGGTGAAGCATTGTTCTGTGATTATTAGCAGGGGCCTTTGGCTCCTTCTCTATTGTAAGATGGCTACAGTCACTTGCAATGATGTAGGTCTGCCTCTGAACACACTTCTCTTCAAAAAGAAAACCCCAGGAGCTTTTTTTGTTGTTGTTAAAAGCATAGATCTCCAAATATATCTTACCTTTGAATAACCTGTTTTCTGAAGTTCCTTTTAACATGTTACTAATCCAAAGATGGTGCCTCTTAGTGATTCTTTGAAATTTGATTTCTTAACTAACTAGCCCCTATTTGCCCAGTTTGCTTCTGCCTCTGCCCCAGCCCCTCCTAGATTTCCAGTTCCTTGCTGCTATGTCTCTGGAGAGCATGTGGTCTGATTTTCATGTGCTTAGATTAAATTTCATCTAGAGGACATAGTAGGACTTCAGGGAGCATCTGCGAGGCTGAGTGATTTATTTCCTTCTCTCAACACTTGTTTGTTTTCTGTAGTAAGCACAATAGCATATGGCAGAGATATTCTACTTGATATTTTTGCAAACAGCAAAACCATTTTAATGAAATGTCATGCTAATCTCTTTCATCCTTTTGTGATAAATTCTAATGATGAGATTAAGGCTAGAAATTACAGACCAGCTGTAATCCGTGGCACTCTTATTATCCTGTTTATCTGACTTGAAGAGTTTTGCTGTTTTTAGAGTCTATGTTAATTGAGTACTCAGTATTCATTACAAATAATCTTGTCTGTTTTCTCCTCAAGATTTCTGAAGGCCCTTTTGCTCTTTCTGTGAAAGCCAAGCAGACTGTATTAACTTCTGGTTTAATTTAAAAAACCAGTGTGGAACTTGTTGGCCCGCCACCTTAAAGAATCGCATGTTTAATAATTGGAAGGCTTTCCATCAGGGCTTGTCTCCAGTCTGAATTAATAATGTTGCTGACTTACTGCTTTAGAATACGGAGTCCTTGACCTGCTAGGTTGAAAGAACTGTGACTGCTCTGAACCTTTGTGGGTCCTTTAGCTGAGCCATTTCCCCTGTGAATAATTAGAGGCATTTGAAGGTATTGCAGTAGAAGCCAATTTGTGTCTTTCACTTTGCATATTGTTGAAGCCTCATGAATTAATCATAAGCAGGGCAAAAAATTAACTTCTTCAGACACATATTTTGATGGGTCATGAGGGAGAATGTAAAGTGATCTGTAAAATATTCTACTGATCCTTTAAGTATTAAATTATTATACCTACAGGCTCATTTTCAGGGTGGGGGGAAGTGTGCCCCCCCCCCCCCTTTCAGGAACTGAGTAGCATATTTGAAAAGATGAAGGTTTTTTATTTTCTAGAACTGTGCAGAGGATGCTAAATGAGCAAGGTTGGGATTTCCTGAAAATCTTGACCATTCTTGTACAGGGGTGGGAGGTGAAAGTATTGGTTTTCCTTTTAAGTTATTTGGATTTTATACTCCTCTAACCATACCTGAAGTTTCTGGTTGATGTGATTAAAGGTATTGTGCAAACCAAAGACTGACTCATCTTTTTCATTTTTGGCATCTAAACATTTATGTTAGGTTTTTAAAGAGAGGTAGCTGAGTAAGAACCACACCATGCACGTGGTATTTAGGTAAGGGGTAGGTTTATTCAGTAGACCTGCTGGGACCAGGCCAGGTTGGCACTCCATGCGGCTGGCAAAGAGGGCGTCTGGCCCTGGGCTAGGCCTTATCTAGGGTAGGGCCAGGTAAAGAGAGGTGGGACCAGGTAAGAAGAGGTGGGACTAGGTGGGAGAAAGGTGTGGCCACATCAGATCCAGATGTGACCTCAGTGGATCGGATGTGACCTCTTCCAGGTGTCCCAGTTGCCTAGGTAACACAGGTACTGGTTGGGGTCTGCTCACCATCCAGGAGTAGACCTTACAATTTAGTTAGTCTAAAAATCAAACGCAGATCTCAATACTTGTTTAAAATTTAGTTTTACATTAAAACCTGTTTTCCATTCTGTTTTTCTTCTTTTTCAGCCAATGAAACTGAAATTGCATTCTTCTGTGAAGAAGATTATAGGAAGTACAAAGTTAATCCCATCTTATCCTGGTGAAAGGTGTCTCTGGGGCTTCCTTTTGCATACCTATGCTAAGCTCTTTATACCTGAATTGACAAATAAATCTGAACACATTAATCCTTGCCTTATGTTTCTTTCTTTAAAGGTCCCTTTATCCCTCTATCCTTCTCTTCCTTTCTGCCTTCCTTGTTGAGAACTAATATGAGAAAAACATTGATTTTTGTAAACAAAAGATTTGTATTCAAAAATCATAATGTGTTGTGTCAAATTGAGGATTATGTTGGTAATTTCCATGTTGGGTTCTTGTAAAAAAATTTTTAAATTGTTATTATAAAAGGTGATGTGAAGAGGGGTTATAGTTACATAAGTCAGGTAAAGAGTACATTTCTTTTTGAACAGTGTCACCAGGCTGGATTCTTTACAAAGGTAAGACCAAGGTTGTACTGGGGTGTGTGTGTGTGTGTGTGTGTGTGTGTGTGTGTGTGTGTGTGTGTGTGTGTGTGTGTGTGTGTGTGTGTGTGTGTGTGTGTGTGTGTGTGTGTGTGTGTGTGTGTGTGTGTGTGTGTGTGTGTGTGTGTGCGCACATTGGTACTGGGGCTTGAACTTAGAGCCTCATTCTCTCCTCTCTTGGCTTTTTCACTTAAGGAGAGTGTTCTGCCACTTGAACCATACCTCTGCTTCCAGTGTACTATTTATTTTGTATTTCTTCCCTGGTTTTATAGTAGAGCACCTGCTACTGTTATTGGACCAGATTGTAACAGTCAAAGCTGATCAGCTCAGGGGGTGACATTGGATAGTATGTATTTTAAAGGGGGCTCAATGAGTCACTTTTCTCTTTAGAATCTCTGTTTGTATACAATATCATTGCTAACATTTTTTTTTTCTGATCTGAGCTGTATTTACTGACTTTTACTATAGTAAACTATTTTATGTGGAGAAAAGCGGTAGGCAAATCTTTATACTTCTGGAAGAAAATTATTCTTTTTTTTTTTTTTTTGTCAGTCGTGGAGCTTGAACTCTGGGCCTGGGCGCTGTCCCTCAGCTCTTCAGCTCAAGGCGAGCGCTCTACCACTTGAGCTACAGCGCCACTTCTGGTTTTCTGGTGGTTTATTGGAGATAGGAGTCTCACGGTCTCTCCTGCCCGGGCTGGCTTTGAACCGCGATCCTCAGATCTCAGCCTCCTGAGTAGCTAGGATTACAGGCGTGAGCCACCAGCGCCCGGCAAGAAAATTATTCTTGAAGAACAATTCTACATCCTGGAAAATATATTCTTTCCAAATAATAGAATACTTGGGCTTTCTGAGAGTAGCTGACCTTTCAGCCAACATGTGTCCAATCACAATGCCTGGAGAAATTGGGTGGCTCTACAATTAGGCCTAATTTACCCTTTACCTTGCTACTCAGATCAATTGGTTTCATAGTGATGGTAATTTATGAAAAAAACTTTATTTTTAAAATCAGTATTGAAAATCTGCTCAACTTGGTTGGAAACAGCTTTGCTTTGTGGAAAAATGTAGTAGAGTTTCTATAAAATAAATTCTATTTATTTTCTTCACTTATTATACAAAATGCTGAATATACAGATGACCTAGGACAGAATTTTTGCCCCAGTGAGAAGGGAAAGATATGCATGCAAGTGATGCTAGTAGAACTGAAAGAAAAACCACTACGGGAGCATCAACAGCAGCATAATTAATTCTGTGTGGGATTTGTAAGGTCCGCACAGGGACACCTCCCTACCCTTGGCTAAGTTTCCACCCAGTATCTGTTACCTAGGTAACTGGCAGACCTGGAAGTAGTCACCTTCCCCTTCTGCTAGGTCACATCCTGGGCCACCTCTGGTCACATGCCTCCCATCTGACCTTAGGAGGGTCCCAGACCCCGAGGTCACATCCAGAGTCCTGTGTGGCCACACCTTTCCCCCACTTGGCCACACCTCTTCCTGTCCCTGGCCTAGATAAGTCCTGGCCCAGGGGTGATTTGCCCCTTCCTTTTTCAGCCATGCCTCTCCAGTATGCATGGTGGGGCAGCAGTTCAGTAAATAAACTTCTTTTCCTGCCTGAATAGAGGGTGGTGTTCTCTTCATTGGCTACCTAATGAAACCTACCCATTTAATATACCTTACGGGATTATTTTCATTTTAGATTATTTTTAAAGTGCTGGTTGAGAATTAGGGGTGTAGATTAAGTGGTTAAGCCCTGGTCTATCAACTTTGAGGCAGAAGTTCAATCCCCAATACTGTTTGAGCTCTGTCTTCACAGTTTTTCTTAGAAGGAAAGAAAGGAAAGGCTTCCTGGAAAAGGGAATGTAATGCATGCAGAAGCAAAGGGCTGAGCAAACTTGGGATTTCACAGAGTATAAAGTACAGGGACTAGAAGGAGTAAGGACCGAAGGGTGGGCAAGCCAGGCCTTGTAAGTCACATCAAGGACTTGGAACTTTATATGGTGTATAGTTGGGAGGCAGTGGTAAGATTTAAACACATGAATTCCATGATTTGATTTGTGTTATAAAATGAGCCCAAGTAACCATCCTGATGGCAGAAAAGACTGCAGGACAATTGCCACAGAGAAGATGAAGGTTGACTGGAGATCTGGCCTGGGGCAGGCACAGAGGGAGGATGAGGAGAAAGGAGACCTTGAGGCTCACCTGTGACCTCCATGAAACCCAAGCCAAGGCAGCAAGTACTCTGCCTAGGTTATCTCATCCGCCTTGAGTGTTGGATAGGAGATTGGGAGTGGAGTGGGGCAGGGGAGGTCCCTGGAGCCAAGCTTTCCTTAAAATCCTCTGGCATCTGCCATTCTACCCAGTGGTCTTCCAGGGAAGACAGAATGCTTGGGACCTGAAGAGTGCCTGGGTGTGGGCTGTGTAAGGAGGAGTGGGGGAGGTGACACCAGCCATAGCCCAGTGGGGAGCCCCAAAGACAGAGCAGCTTCTCATGTATTCATTTGTTGATTGCTCCTTCAATTTATATACAGGCTTGTCTTTTGAAATGTGAAGTTAGCCTGTATTTACCTGTATATTTTCTTTTTTTTTTTAATCAATGCAAACAGCAAAGAGTCGTTTATTGCAAGCTCCACGCACTCGGTAACCGGTGATGCTAAGACGTACCTGTATATTTTCTTATATAAACACTGCCATTTACACATACACATATATAGCATTAGTTATATATTATGTATATATTCATTTTGTGTGCATTTTCCTTATCACAAAAAAATACATAATTTCACTTATAAATTCAGATTTAAAAGAAAAAAATTAGGAAGGAAGGAAGGAAGGATGGGAGGAAGGATGGAAGGAAGGAAGAAAAGGAAGGAAGGGAGAATCCAGACAGCGCATATTCAGTGCATATAGTATGAAGGGAGGAGTCGGTTGGGAGGGATGGGGAGAAAGATGAAAGGAGTGATACCAGCCAACATGCATTGTACTTACAAACTGATTTGTTGAATGGTAACTCCCTTGGTACAACTACTTAAAGATAATAAAAAATTAAAATGCATATGACTAAAAAAGGACTTTTGCCCAGAATGGGAGATTGGTTTAAAATGAGGAAACCTATCTATGTAATTTATGTAAGTTATAGATTAAAGAGGAAAAATGGTCTCGGTAGATGTCAAAAAAGCTTTTAATGACATTGTCCCTGTGCATGAATAAAAATTAGTAGTGAGTAGGAATGCCTTTAAACTAATGAAGGCTAATCAGAGAAAACTACTGGATGTTTCCACAAATCTGTTAGGTATGACCAGGACAAGGGTGACCCGGTTCTGTTCAGTGTTCTTCTGCCTCACTGTAGCTAACCCAGGAAGAAAAGTTGAAAGAGCCACAGATAGTGAAAAAGAAGAGACAAAACACTCACCTGCAGACTATATAATTGCTAAGGGAATCAAGTGGTAAGTTATTAGAACTATGACAAAGAGTGTTAGATAATGAGCCTGCACTGAAGTACTTGTGAAAGCTATAAAGTGTTATCAGAGGGCTATAGGAGGCCTAAGTACAAAGAGAAATTGAAGGAGAATAGATGGAATATGTACAAGGTACAGGTCTGTAACTGACTTTACTCTGAATCCCAAAGGAGCTTGATTATAGAATTTGACAAATGGATCTTAAGGTTTATTTGGAAACTTAAACGTATACCAGGTGCCAGTGGTTCATACCCTATACTTAGGAGGCTGAGATCTGAGGATCACGATTTGAAGCCAGCCCATGCAGGAAAGTCCGTGAGACTCTTATCTTTAATTATCCACCAGAAAACTGAAAGTGATGCTGTGGTTCAAAGTGGTAGAGCTCTAACCTGGAGCAAAAAAGCTCAGGGACAGTACCCAGGCCCTGAGTTCAAGCCCCACAACTGACACAGAAAAAAAAGTAAATGTACAAGAATAACTAAGATTAACTTGGAAAGACAAAAAGTGGATTGTGTGGTGGGAGAGGTTGCTTATATGTCACAATATATTGTAAATTTATAGTAACCAAAGTAGCTTGATGATGATGACACAGACCAAGGAGAGAGTATGGAAAGTGACAAATGTATATGGAAACTTTTTCATATATAATATTGGTAGTATTAGCTGTCCATGGAGAAGAGGAAGGCATTTAACACATTGAATGGATATTAAATATGTTTAATATTTACTGCATTTTCATTGGATTATATAACCATAAAATTATGAGCTAACTATAGAAAATAGAAAGGCATTAAAATAAAATGTGAATGCTAGAATTTGCCAAATTTGACTTAGAGATATATATATATATATATATATATATATATATATATATATGTGCGTGTGTATATATGTAAATTTATGTTTGAATATACATTAATAGATGTTTTAAAACATATATTCTAATTCATATATAATATTTTTTCTAGCCAATATATGAGTTGTACAAAGACCAGAAGACTGGGAGACACTCCTTGCACATATAAAATAGAAAAAGATTTACTTCTAGAACATATGACAAACTCTTACAAATTATCACAGAAAGCACAAACAAAGCAAAAATCAACAGTCCACAAAAAGCTGATATTTTGTGTGAGAGGTGAAGAGCTGGGCATCATGTTTTCCCTGGAAATCTAAATGAAAACAGAGTGCTGTGCTAAGTGATGGAATTGAGA